TGGGCGGCGATGGCGGCGGTCATGGGGTCCTTCCTCGTCTCGGGCCTGATGCACGAGCTCCTGTTCTGGTATGTCACCCGGGCGTGGCCGTCGTGGGAAATGACGGCCTTCTTTGTGCTGCACGGGGCCTGCGTGGCGGTGGAGTTCGGTCTGGGGGCGGCCGGCCGGGACAGGTGGCGGCTGCCGTGGTTTGTGGGGGGGCCCCTGACGCTGGGGTTCGTGGTGGGCTCGAGTTCCTGGCTCTTCTTCCCGCCATTGGTTAGGAACGGTGCAGATGTGAGGGTGATTGAGGAGTTCAGTTATGTGGCAGAGGTTATCAAGGCCAGCATTGTCCATTTCTTGTGCCTCGTTGGCTTGAGATAGGATTGAATGTGAGAAGATATTGTTTGAAATTGTGCTGTTCCAGAATTTTTTCTTTGTGCCCAGGTATGAGGATTGAGCTACTCTATAATTATGATCCATCAACCATCATGGGGCTTGTTCGATTCTATTGCCCTATAAGTGTATGTTGATCTGCTCCTACAAGTGGGTTGATCCGATGGTTAAAACCTCGTTAGGACACTACCCGATATGAAAATTTCCCTAGGGCATGAAGGCCTCAATCAAAAACTTGTCTTACTTCTTCAAGTATGAAATTTTCCCCATGTAAAGGTCTATAAAAAATTTGTGTACCATTGTACTAAAAGTCGGCTTAGGCGCCCGTGAAGACGGCCACGACTCTTGACTAGGAGGTCATGTGGGCACTTCAATGTTTAGGCGGCACTTAGGTGGTCTTGGCAGCGTCTAGTATATATATGTATATATATTTCAGTGCTTATGCTTAGAAAGAAGTCGCAATACATATCATTCAACGGCAAAAAAAAAAGTCATATTTTTACACTCATTTAAGGTATTTTTGAGAAAGGGGATGTTGCTAAAGAAAGAATACAACTCACTACCTACATCTTATGGTTGCTGTGGAAATCAAAGAACTTATGGACCTTCCAAAACCTTTGAAAACCTGCGAAGACCACTCTAGAAACAGCAGTTGCCGAGTGGGTAGAATTCTCAAATTGTTAACTTTTTTTGTGGAGTTCTGCTCGATTTTTTTCTAGCTAGGTTCAACGTTTAGTTTAGTGACTGTTTGTACTCTTGGTTATTTTTGTGTATTATGATATTAGGGCTAAGAGCTGCAGTATTAAATACTATGACTTGATTCTTTTTACTTATGATTGAAAAATATATTCTATCTATACTATTATAAATGTATACAAATCTTTTCTCTCTGCGAAGAAAAAAAAAAAAAAAAAAAAGAGAAGAAGCAATCCTTCAGATCTGAATCGGTCCGCCTTCCTTAGCCGCCACTGCGCTTAGCCGGCGGTCGGCGGTTCCTAATAGCATGAATCTTCCCCTTTTTCTTCCGCTCTGCCACACGCTTCTTTTGGATCTAGGCCTCATCGGTTGCGGATGGTCTTCGCCATTCCGGCGCCGTTCCGCTCATTCTTTTTTGGGGCTTCTCGGTCTGGTGTTGGTGGAGCCGTGGTGCCGTTCCGGGGAGGTATTCATCCCGATTGCTCTGCGACTTGTTTGCTGTGCGTCGGTGCGGCTTGGCGCAAGGCCATCCCCCTGGCCTCGTTTCTTGGCCTCGTTGGGTCGTTGCGGGTCGATGGGGGCCATCGTTTCAACTATTCCTCCAGTGGTGTTGGTCGGGATTGTTGCAGCGGTGGTGTGGTGGTTTGTGCGACTGGCCGGCGATTTGGGGTTGGGACTAGGTCTTAGCATTCCATTGCCTTTCGGTGATTTGGTGTTGTGGCCGTGGTCCGGGTCTGCCTGTTGTGATTTCGGAGTTGAGGCGTCGATTCTGTTAGGCATCCGAGTGGTTTGGCAGTTTCGGGGTCGGTGCTTCTTGCTTCGGGATTCGTGGTTGGCTTGTGTCCGCTGGTTCGGTTAGGTGTTGCAGCTTAGGAAGGGCTCGATTTTTTTGTGTTTTTTCGTGTTTTGTTTGTATCTTTATGTTGTAGTTCTTTGGTTCTTGTGTTGTGTTGATGTGTTTTTGGTCTGGGCTGTTGGCCTCAGTGAGCCCGAGTGTGCCTTTATTATCCTGTTGGGATTTATACTCGGGCATTACCCTGTTGGGGTCGTTATGTGTTGTATTACCCTGTTGGGGTTTTGTGTGTTGTTTGTGTTTTTAGTTTACCCTGTTGGGGTCGGCACTAGGCGGTCCTTGGACCTGTCCTCCCTTTTTTCAGTCCTTGGTTGTGTCTATTCAGCTGTTAGCTGCTTTGTATTCAGCCATTGGCTTTTGCACATTTGTGCTAGTTATATATTAGTTCTATCGTTTCGAAAAAAAAAAAAAAAAAGATTATGTAAAAGTATGATATGCCTAAAATACCGTTACTTTATTATCTAAGTAATGGCAGATTTGGATCTCAAAATAAACAACTTTTAAGTTTTCCTTTCTCTAAAAACCTCTCGCCAGAAGAAAAATGGGGGGATTTTTCAGACCCCCCTCCACCTGACGCTGTTCGTGGCTTGCCCATTCCCCCGGCCGCGGGCTCAGCCGGGTGGCGACTGTCTGCTCCTTATTTCCGCCTATTTGAGTTTAAATGGGGACCACTGATGGCGAGTTCTTCTGCCTCGGCCTCTTCTTCCCGACATCGGGTTGGGATCAAAGACGGTGGATCCTCTGGCAAAGCTAGGTGGGTTTCCTCCCCCGATGTTAGTTTCTCCCCCGACTTGCGACTTTTGGAGCCCAGATCGGACTGAGACTCGTCTTCTCGCTAGATCTGACTAGTCGCTTGAGTAAGTCTGGACTTTTGGAGCCCAAATCGAATTGAAACTCGTCTCCTCGCCAGATCTTACTAGTCGCTTGTGTAAGTCCGGAGTTTTTGGATCTAAGCCTCGGACTTGCAACTCTCTTTTAGTTTTCTTGTTGTGGGGATTGACTCGTGTGCTGGTTCGGCTACGCGAGAAGTAGGAGAGGTTGTAGTCCATTTTTATTGTAGGTGTGTGTTGTTTAGATGTGTTTGTGTTTGTTTGTGGAGTTGTTAGTTTTCATTTTTGGAGTTTGTTATTCTCCACTAATTTTTTAGTTATTGTAATTTATTCTGGTCCTTTTGGGTCAATGGTTAGGTGTTTTTGTTCTTATTTGTTTTGGCTTTGAGCTACCGGATAAGCTGGCAGTGGTCTTCAGTCTGTGTACTGCATATCAGACAAAAGGAAGGAAGCTTGAAGGGGAAGGGAACCAGTGAATCACATCAAAAGTCGATAAAACCATCTCCTCTTAACATAACATAATCGTCACTTGCCAGAGTCGACAATATAATCACCAAAACATAAGCACAGTTCTAAATAAATTCAGGGCCCTGTCCCCTAATGCCAAAGTTTACATCACAAGAACAAAGATGCCTCGGGTGATGGCACAAATGATAACATGCTTTCACCAAAATACTCGTACAACAAAACCAACAGCCGCTGGCCATCCACATCATCTTTCCATGTCTGATCAACAATTTTCAACCCTTGCTCACTAATTAACTCTTTTCCGCCACTTGACGACCCCACCATGTTGTTATTCGTGTATGGCACTGATTGTTGCACATTAGAGTGCCCACTGCTGGCTCCCGTCACGTCCATTTGCAGTGAGTTGCCACCAGAATTGTCTGTCACTAGTTTCTTCAGTGGTGGCTGGTGGTGCATCACGTTATCCATGCTGGCTTTACGTTTATCTTTTGACAAGTTCAAAGCAGTGAAAATTATCAGTCTTAGGCTATGTTTGGTTAGCTTATAAACTTCCTGTATTAAAATAAGCTTCGTTTGGCAGGGCGAGCTGTTTTAAAAAGCTCGAGCTTATCTCATAAGCTTCTTTGAGTAGCTTTTCAAATAAGCTCGTTGAAAATTTTATTTCAGCTAGCTTACAACTAATTTTACCAAACACTCTTATCAAAAAAAGCTGGTTTTTCAGTCTATAAACTAGTTTTACCAAACATAGCCTTAGTCGGCATAAATGACTAGAATTCAGAACAGAGAAAATTGGGACATTTATGCTCTAAGAAAATCGAAAGGTGACTCGAGAGGAGAGAAAACATTTGAAGACAGACAGACAGACACACCAACACTTATTTTTCTGCGTGCGATTTGACTAACCTTTATTATTCAGAAAATGAAATTTGTGAAGCTGCTAAATGAATCTGCCACCACATTTCTAATCACCTTTCAGAGTTGATAAACATCTTAATGCAAAACCTATTCCCGTCTTATCCACATTTCCATTTACAGGAATGTCATCAAACAAAATACCATCAAAAAATTAAAACAAGTTAGAAATTCATACTCGACACTGTCGTCAGGACTTTGTTGTTACTCTTCAAGACAGTATGCGCTGATGGAGATGGTATAGAAGGCAGTTTCTTCAGGCGATCATGCAAGCACAACCCAGCTGCACGCTGACAAAGATAACTCCTCAGTCAAACTTTAGCATATATGAAAGTCATTTTCATAAAAGAGATTGGACAGAGCTGTTGGCAACCACACGGCTTTTTGTGTTGTGCATAATTACATTGAAGTCTAATTAAGAGAATTGAGTATTTAAGTATACTGCAAATACTGCAACTTCATATTACAAATCAGGCTGAAGCCAACTGAGGCTTGCGTGTAGATACAAACTAGATGAAAGAGATTTTTGAATGCGAGCCACATATTTTGGAGTCCTTTCGCAGTAAATGAGATCAACAGAAGAATTAACAGGAAAGTATGTTAAAAGCAAATCTTACCACTAACGCACCATATACAAGCCAGGCTTCATGTCTCTTCATCTCATTCTTTTGCGTCTCTAATTGCATTTCTGGAGCTAGAAGGCACAGATAAGGCTCAAGATTGGGAAGAACAAGCTTCCGAACCTAGCCAACAATTTTAAAACTCGAATGCATGAAAAACTGAAAGATTATGTTGATATGCATAAATTATATATTTGATGAGAAATAAGCATGCAATCTCGAGCACACAGAGAAGATGTAAGTACCACATTAGGCCCCATGGCTGCTAGCCCTTGGATAGCACCATAATGTTGAGGGAGGGCCTTGGACGGATCCAAGAATGCATGCAACAGTGTGTTGGTCACACGTTTTGGGAGGTCGTGATAAACATGGCCAAATCTGAAAATGTACAACAGGGCAAAGGTAATCATTAATTAAGAGTCTATCTATTTTACTAACAAAGCAAATTCCTCAATGGACAAGTCATATGTTAGTTGCATGCAAATATGGTAAATTCCCACCCTCTTTGCATATTGACGAAACCCACCTCTTGCATATTGATGAAACCAGATTCGCAGAGAAATTTCTAAGATCCCAGTGACTGTCCGAGTTTTTATGTCCTAATCTCCTGGCAACCAGGCATGTCATCACGGGTGGCATTAATTGGTGCAGCTAATGACATAGAAATCAGATGTCAGAAAACCGCCCTTGAACATAAACATTGAATTAATGTGGCAACTCCGCATAATTGTCAGTTTCAAACTCAAAGATCAACATAAGCATTATGTTTCTGACAAATGATTTGTAACATTTATCATTAATCAATTGAATTTGAAATCTGCAGGAAATCTCATATGAAGGTCTGTCACCAAAGAACATGCCCAAGGCCAATCACAAACTAAGCTACTACTAGCACACCGCAAGTTAAACTATATGAATCACTAAACTATACTCAACAAGAATAAGTTTCAGGCAACACAAGAAATGCAAAAGTCATGGTAGGAAAAAGTTACAATACGACTTACAAAATTAAGAGAACAGAGTGGAGAAATAGAAACTGAAATGTAAAGCATTAAGTAACTTACATAAGGCTCAATATGTATATGTGGATTTCGAAGAAGACTCCGAACAAGACGCATCAAGGCAAAAAGGAGAGAAAAATTACTCAAGTTCAGAGAAACCTGTCATTTTCACAGATTGATGTTTATCATCCAGTACTAATATTCGTCGAAAACAAAAGAATAGTTACATTTACCTCATCTGCAACAAAATATGTAAAGTATGGAACCAACGGGTGGATCCCTGAGTCCGTTGCCAAGCTCACTAGGGCTTCTTTAAACAAAGGAGACTCCGATCTACTGACAGTCAATTCTGTTATTTTCTCAAAGTAAAGCTGCAACACCAGTTGAAAATCATTAGCTGCATCACAGGCTTTTGTAGATAATTAAGGAAAGCATGTTAAACTGTCAGCAGTACCTGAAGTTCTCGTGAAAGGACATGCTTAATAGGTAATTTAATGTCAATATGTACTCCCTCCTCTTTGGCTTCAGTCTTTCTGTTATCAGAAGGCAGGGAAAGCACTGACATATAAAAGATCTAATCAATCTTTGATAAAAAAAGTTCAAGAAATTCTAAATGAATTGACATCAAATTTAGCTTCTTCGAATAGCAAAAAGTTGAAAGATAACTGGTTTATCCTAGGATTAAGAGAAGATTATCCCACAATTACATGTCTGATCTAGAATTGAGTTACATTGAGCACGACTGAGCATACTTTGAAGTGCTTCAGAAGGAGGATTTTCTGGAATAGCAGGTTGAACTCCTTCAACGGCTAACCAGTGAGCAATCACTGCAGTGTCTAATGGGGCTTTAGGTAGAGGAGCTTCAATCACCTAAATACATCAAACCAAACAATGAAACTGCAACTGCCAGAATAA